TATTATAGTATCTAACATTGGGATTTTGATTCAGATCTCATTGGAAAAAAAGTTACATCAGCCTATGCACATGCTTTTCTGCAACTTGCCAGTGAATGATGTATTAGGGTCAATTGTTCTTTTGCCACGCTTGATGAATCATATCTTAACAGACCCCTCTGAGCGCTACATCACATTTGTGGAGTGTGCTACGCAAGCTTTTTTGGGACATGTATATGGAACCGCATCCCACACAATTCTAATGATCATGGCCTTTGACAGATATGTGGCTATATGCAATCCATTGCGATACCCAACTATAATGAGCAATAACATGGTGGTTAAACTGTCGGCAGGAGCCTGGGGTGTTGCAGTAGTGCTGGTGGGAATTCTGATCAGCCTCAGTTTGCGTCTGTCTCACTGCAGATCTGTGATTCAAAATATGTTTTGTGACAACGCTTCACTATTTAAACTGACCTGTGAAAGTATAGTTATTAATAATATATATGGATTAACTTTTACTGTGGTTTTACTAACCACCTCATTGGGGAGTGTGGCATTTACATATCTCAGAATAGTGATGGTATGTATTAAAAGCAAAAACAAAGCAACCAACAGCAAAGCAATAAAAACATGTGGTGCTCACTTGGTTGTTTATATAATCATGATGGTTTCTGGATTCACCACCATTTTTCTTCATCGTTTCCCTTCATCAACTGAAAGTAGAAATTTATCTAGTGCAATGTTTCATGTTATTCCACCAAGCTTAAATCCCATAATATATGGTTTGCAAGCAAAGGAAATAAGACAAAGAATGTTTAAACTAATTTATAAACGTAAAGTTAACTCAAAATGATCGTTTTTAAATGTATATATATATATATATATATATATATATATATGAAGAGTTCAGATGCAAAAGCCGCTAAGTGCCATTTGAAATTTTCTTCTAGAATGATAATTTATCAAGCTTGTATATTTAAGTTCAGTGATTTCACTTAAATGGCAATGATAATTAACTATTAATTGTTATTTAAGTGAAATTACTGAACTTAAATATACAAGTTTGATAAAAATCATCATTAAAGAAGAAAATTTCAAATGGCATTTAGAGGCTTTTGCATCTGAACTCTTATATATATTATATATAACAATTGTCTGAGTGATACTGATAAAGCGTGAATGGTAAAATACAATGGCCTACATTTCTGTTTCATTCCAAAAATGTACTTGTGTGAATAGTCTAAAACATCCTTGTGATAAATGTGGACAGTGGAACAACAAAATATATACTGATAATTACAGGCTTTTTATGTCCCGGGTAAACACGAAAATCACTGCAAAAAACAGCATTTAAAACACCTACTGACAACAACTTCTGACCATTTACATTTTAAAACAATTAAGCAGTTCTTTGCTCCATACACTCTAAAAATGCTGGGTTGTTTTAAACCAACTTTATGGACAAACCCAAACGTTGGGTTAAAAATGCCGTTAAAAAATGAAACCTAATGGCTGGATTTGTCAATTTTTGACCCGAAGTTGGGTTAAAACAACCCAGCAATTTTTAGAGTGTATGATCACATCTCTACATCAGAACAATAAAGGTTATCCAAACGGCAAGTATGATATAAACGTAAACATATTATATGTAAGCAATAAGGTACGAGAGGCTGTGCTGTATCGTGAATAAGTAACGGCTGAAGGGCGTTGTGAAGAAAGCATGAATAAAATATGCCCCTGCAGACTATTTTTCCAGTGAAAAAATGAAATTTTTCATTGAGGAATTCTATAATATAGTGCGATAAGATAAGGGTCTCGTCACACCCATTTTCAATAGCATTGCCATTGTTTTTTTATATATATTTGTTTTATTCTTTTTTTAATCTCACCATTGATTCAACAGCAATTGCAGGTGCAAACATGATAATGAACCAACTTTAGGGATGGCAATTTCAAAACACTGCTTCACGAGTTCACACTTACAAATAAGTCAGATAGAATGAATCCATATTTGGCGTGCTGTCCGAGGAGAGGGCTCCAGGCTCGGTATGCGGTCTATGTCACATTTCATTGCAAAGTGTAGAGACTACAAACTTTGGGTCCCACACCCTTGAATAATGAGGAGCTACTCACCCTAGGCCTATTACAGATCAGTGGGTGGGACTTCACTTGCAGATACTGAAATCAATATCAGCCATTTTGTTTGGAAGCTAAGCTAACAAGTGCTGTAGAGATAGGAAGTAATGACAATGACAGAAGAAACTAAACGTGAAACATCCCAAGTCTCCCGGAAGTTCCAGGAGTCTCCCACATATTGATCACTACCTGATGCGCAGAAATGAGTTAAAATCTCAATAAAATCTGTGAATATAGTGTGTAAACATGTCGATGGAATCGACAGGAAGTAATATAGCCAGGCGCGAGGCTATAAATAGATGAGCAGCAGATGCATCGTCAGGATATTTTGTCTAAAGAGCAGTCCTGGGACATCATCGGCACAGCAAAGTACCGCAGCATCTCGCTCCGCTTTTTCAGGGAAAAGGGTTAGTCAAGTAACCCGGAACGTTCCCTTTCAAAAACTACAATCAATGCTGTGCTACTTAGCGCATTGGGAACAAGAATACCCACGCCACCATGCCATCAGGACTTTCTCTTTCTATTGATAATAGTCCCGAGGTCTGGCTTGGGAGGTTGCTGAGCCAGTTCTTATTTGGAAAAGCATGGCTTGCCATGCTCAGCTTCTTAGGACCAGGGAGGGGTTGGGTGGCCGATGGTCCCTCCCCTTGAGTGCGGCGAGGAAGGAACTGAACAAACGCCTCCTCATGCTTCTTGACCTCCCTGAACCTGGTGACTACTGTGTTAACTGAGTCGCCAAACAGGCCAGAGGGTGACACTGGAGAGTCAAAAAGGAAGACACTTTCTTTGTCTTTGATTCCAGTGAGGTTGAGCCACAGATGCCTCTCTGTACGAACCAAAGCTGACCTAGAACAGCCGATGGCACAGGCCATTTGCTAAGTGGCACGAAGAGACAGATCCGTGGCTCGGCACAGTTCAGAAAACGCTTCATCTTTCAGAGAGTACCCACACGCAGGTCCTTCAAGAGGTCAGCCTGGTACACCTGTAACACAGCCATTGTGTGCAGCGCTAACCTGACCTGCAGCTTTGTAAGCTTTACCAAGAAGCGAAGATGTTATTCTATGCGGCTTTGAGGGATGGGGAGTTTTTTTAAGCGAAGATGCAGACCCAGGCAAAAGATAGCTGGCAAGCGTCTCTTCAACCTGGGGCATCTGGCGCCTTTGCACCCACGATAGTCGAAAAAGTTGACGTCAAAGGCACGAAGACACAAGAGGTATATCGTTTCCTCCATGACTTGGATAGCTCATCATGGAGGTCCTCGAAGAAGGGGAGAAACTGACGTTGAGGTCCCTCCCCTTTGCCACCAGACAAAAACCTGTCCTCAAGTTTACTACGTTTGGGGATCTCCTCCAGTCAAGCTGCAACCTGACCACCGCTTATGTCAGTTCTGACATAAGACGAGAACATGGACGGATAACTTGCTGACTCATTTCTCTTTTTTTAACTTTCTTTTATGACGTTAAAGATGAGAAAGAGTGAATTCTCCACACTGTCGGGTATAAAGCTAAATAACTTGTAGCAAAGATAGAGACAGAGAGGTCTCTGAAGACAAAAGACCTGACGATGCACCTGCGGCTCATCTATTTATAGCCTTGCGCCGCGGGTCAGCGCCGATGACGTCACCGACTGAGGCTATATTACTTCTGGTCGTTTCCATCAACGTGTTTACACACTATATTCACAGCGGGTCACGATTAAAGCCGTTCAATGCACTAAGCAGCGCAGCATCAATTGTAGCTTTTGAAAGGGAACAGTAATTAGCTGTGTCCCAATGTGAAGGATGCATCCTTCGAAAATGCATCCTTCGGTGTGTAAACTCAGGATTACAAACCGGAATCAAGCGGCGCAACAGCGCGTCAGAAGCAAATAGACCATTTTCTTCACGGCTGCCGTGGCAGTTTCAAGGGGTTACTCGATTAGCCGAAAGTTGAAGCCTTGCGAGAACCGTCATTGTAGCAGAATTTTATCCATTTATCCATAAATTTTATTTCTAAAGAAACACGACAATGAATACATTTTGAATGAATAAGCTTCATTACCTTGTATCTTACGTTATGGCCCCGTAGAAGCAGTTTTTGTAAAAATAGGCTAACAATTGCATCATAATCCAGTTCACAGTTGAGAAATTACCGTATAGACAGGGGGAGAAGCTTGCAGGCAATCGGGGGGACGTGGACTCATATTTCACCACAGACACGTGTCAATTGCACTTTAAACTTTAGATTTTTACGTGCATCAAATTCGCTTTGGAATGCATTCAAAATGTTCAAGCGTCCAACTAGACACGATGGACGCGAATTTGATGCTCTATTCATGTTTTGTGTGACCGCAGACATATGATATAATACTGGCAACACTTTTTAATGGAAAATGGTTTGATATTGTCAGAATTTGGCCATTTTTTACAGCAAGGGCTAAGAGTTCAGGTATTATCAATAAAAACGGTCACTTCGGCAAGTGCAGTCTAATACAATTCAGTGTGATGCATTCAGTGCAGTTACAGTAAATGCATTCAGTTTTTAGTTTTTCATTTGAACTATAAATATAGGTACTTATGGGAAGAAACACCTCTGAATATTTACTTCATTCCTCACATTATTTTAATAAGCTTCGCATTTGTCCTGATTTTGACAAGTAATGTATAATTCATCATGGGGTCATGAATCATTTTGCAGTATTAGTAGGTTGTAACTTCACTTATTGCAATAAAAACTCACAATCAGCAGCCTCTCTGCTCATGGCAACGTATTCTATGAATAGTTTTTTTTCCCCTCCTCCCCCCAAAAGGGGTTATGTCAAGGTCACAGAGAACTATATAAGCCATCGCAATAACAGGTGGTACTGTTTGACCTAATCATTATTGGGAGGATCGTAGTCAGAGTGCAGCAAGATACTACTGTTACATTTATAAAGTAAAACTCAATACTGATAAAGATGATTGTGACTTCACATTAGACAAATGTACCTTTACATTTGTCAAGTTTCCCTTTGTACCATTCCAAAGTATAGGCCAATGCAGTTTTGGCATGCACAGGGAAATGCTGAATATGAAACAGGGAAATGCTATTCATTTGTAATGTGAATTTTACACAAATAGGTAAGGTAATATGTTTAAGAGTATATGTAGTGATGTCTATTTGTTTTGTTTGCAGATTTTGTGTACAGCAGCCAATGGACAACTTGACATTCACAAACAGCCTTCTCCTCGTGGAGGGACTGAAAGTTACGCCTCAGTCATCTCAGCCTGTTTTCATAATCCTTCTCTTGGTTTATGTCTTTACAGTGGTATCAAACATTGGACTTGTATTTCTGATCTCAACTGAGAAGAATCTGCATGACCCAATGCATTTTCTGTTCTGTAACTTGCCACTGAATGATATACTGGGGACCACTGTCATTATGCCACGCTTATTGCAGGACATGTTAAGGGAAACATCAGAGCGCTATATATCATATGCAGAGTGTGTTATTCAAGCTTATTTTGTGCATGTATATACAGCAGCATGCCACTATGTGCTAATGATCATGGCCTTTGACAGATATGTGGCTATATGTAATCCATTGCGATACAATTCTATAATGACCAATAAAATGGTTATTAAACTCTCAGCATTGGCTTGGGGCCTGGCCATAGGTTTAGTGACAATTATGGTATCACTTACTTTGCGTCTGTCTCGCTGTAGATATAAAATTGAAAACCCTTTCTGTGACAATGCCTCACTATTTAAAGTATCCTGTGAAAATGTAAGTATTAATAATATTTTTGGGGTTGTTTATACCATAATTGTAGCCAGCCTGTCAGCACTTACTATATTTTTAACATATGTCAAGATTGCTGTTGTGTGCTGTAGCAGCAAAAACAAATCACTCAACAGCAAAGCCATAAAAACCTGCAGCACTCATTTAACTGTTTATATAATCATGTTCATTTCTGGAATCACTTTTATTTTACTACATCGTTTTCCTGAATACTCTGATAGCAGGAAATTAGCAAGTGTACTGTTTCACATTGTACCACCAGGATTAAATCCCTTAGTATATGGTTTACAAACCAAAGAAATAAGACAAAAGTTTGTAAAAAACTGGTGGAGAAAAAAATGAATTCTTAAATGGATTATATATATTCATATCATAGTTAATATTATTGTAAAGGATTTTTTATATGTGAAATTAATATTTTAATAATATTTAGCAGGTAATAACCGTAACATTGCAAACACTGTAACTTTGTTCTGTACTCAAATACTTTTCAGTATTTATCAGGTGTTTTTGTATGAGAATTGTGGACTTAAAATGTAAACTAATTTAAATTAAGTTGTACGTATTACCTGGGAAAAAATAAAATAAACGACATGAAATAAACAACATTTTAGCTCATTGCAAGCACAAAAAGCAACTTGGCTCGAAGGCCAGCTCTACTGCCATCATTTCTACCCCCAGGAACAAAATTTGTTGCCTGGGGAGGAGCAAGCTCTTGCCAAAATTGACCCTGAAGCCTGAAAGAGCTGGGACTTGTGTGCGCATAGCTCATGTTTAGACTGGGCTATGGGAAGCCAATCTTAAAGTTTGCAGAGCTAGAGAGTCTGAACAGAATTACCACCTCCTCGAACGCAAATCTCAAGAATGGTCTGTGATGGGCAGGCTTTCTGGATATGAGACAGCATTTCAGTTCAGTTCAGTTTCTTTTTCAAGCAGAGACTGAACTTCGGCTCTGAGGACATGAGAGCTGTCGTCTGAGACAGACGTATGAATCATGCCCCTGAAGCGGAGCGGTCTGCAAATGAATTGGACCAAGTAACCTCTTTCTATGAACTGAAGAGGAGACTGTTAAATGGGGATGCTTTGGGGGTGGTCTGGCTTAGGTGAGACTTAACCCCTTTCTCCTCCGTCCTGAGGCCTCAGGACTGCTACGGCGGCACCGAAGCCTCTGTCTCACTCCAGCCAGGGGCAAGGCCCTTGACGCTTAGGGAAAGTGTGGCGTTTGGCCGAGCGGAAGCAACATAAAAAAAGATGGCCGCCAACAAGTTTCGATTTTGACACACGAGACGCGCGTAAATTTCACTTCAAACTTTTGAATTTGAGAATTGACACGTGAACTAACAGAAAGTGGTCAAGCGTCAAACTAGACGCGGTAGACGTGAATTCGACGCGCTTTTCGCGTCTGGTGTGAACGTAGCATTAGGCAGGATGTGTCCCATAGCTTGCGATGACTTCTTAGTCTCAATGTAACGTTCCGGGAATCCGTCCACCACGGAGTTGAACAAGCCAAATGGGGAAACGGGGAATACAGGAGAGCCATCCTGTCAACATCCTTAATCTTGGTGAGATTGAGCCGCAAGTGGTGTTACAGCACTACTAAACTGGCCATGGCATGAACGATGGCTTGGGCTGTGGCTTTAGTAGTGTGCAGGGCCAAGTCTGTTGTGCTTCTTAAAAATAGCCAGATGTATATAGCTCTGAATGAGAAAGATCTGACAAGTGGCTTTTCTGCAGCCAGGCTGAAATGCCAATTGTCTGTGAAATTCACAGACGTGAATGAGTTAGACTTCAGAATTTGGAGAAAACAGGAGTATTCCCTTAAGAGTCACATAACTGACGCAATGCAAGTTAACCATATTGAAAGGGAACCCACATTCCACAATTAGTAATTTGTAACTTCACTTGTTGCCACAAACAAAAAAAACAAAAAAATCAACAGCCCTTCTGATCATATGAATCAGTTTTCCCTGTTGGATTGATGAAAGAGAAAACCATATAAACCCCACATTAAAAGAACAGGGAACTACAAGTCATACTGTTTGACTAAATCATTACAGGGAGGATATTAATAAGACTAAGGCAAGATGCAGCACTTACATTTATTTAGTAACATTAATGTATACTGCTATCTAGTGAAATGTATTTACATAGGCAACCATTTGTTTGTCCATTTATAAATCAGGTACATTGTCAACATATATAATGTAAACTAGTTTATTAATTTGTGTTTTGTAAACAATGTTAACAATTGTCATGTAATGTACTGCAGTAACAGCAAGGAAAGTATGTTGTAAAAAATTGACAGAGCAACATAGACCATTAGTTTATAATGTGCAGTATATCCAATTAAGTGAGTCATTTATTTTAATAATCAAACTGGCATATTTTTGTTACTCTGTTTTCAGGTTTTGTGTACAGCAGCAATGGACAACCTGACATTTAGAAACAGCATTCTCCTCGTGGAGGGACTCAAAGTTACACATCAGTCCTCTTACCCTGTTTTCATTGTGCTTTTCTTGGCTTATATTTTTGCAATGGTATCAAACATTACACTTATATTTCTGATTTCAACAGAGAAGAATCTGCATGATCCAATGCATTTTCTGTTCTGTAACTTGCCAGTTAATGATATATTAGGGACTACTGTTATTATACCACGCTTGCTGCAGGACATGTTAAGGGAAACATCAGAGCGCTATATATCATATGTGGAGTGTGTTATTCAAGCTTATTTTGTGCATGTATATTCAGCAGCATGCCACTATGTGCTGATGATCATGGCCTTTGACAGATATGTGGCTATATGTAATCCATTGCGATACACGACTATAATGACCAATAAAATGGTGGTTAAACTATCAGCATCAGCCTGGGGGCTGACAGTACTTATGGTAACAATTATGTTTGCTCTAACTGTGCGTCTGTCTCACTGCAGATCAACAATTGAAAACCCTTTTTGTGACAATCCCTCACTATTCAAACTGTCATGCGAAAATGTAAGTATTAATAACGTGTTTGGACTTGTTTATACCGTAATTATAGCCTGTGTAACGGATGTGAAAGGACACTCACAAATGGGATTCAGCTTCAGTTTATCTTTTTTTGGAAACAACAAGAAAGAAAAGTTACATTGTGGCTGATGACAGACTGCAGACATTCATATGGACCACAGCGTCGACACTTGAATCTGCTGTCAATCGTATTATTCACATTCAACACATAGTATTGATATACAATGTGAAAAACTTAACATAATACTCATAATAAGCACACCAATGTAAATGTACAGAATAGTTAATTGCAGACAACATCAGTAAATCTTCAATAATTGTCAAATAACATTTGTTAATAGAATAAACACGAAAGCAACATACCTTTTTTTGGAAACAACAAGAAAGAAAAGTTACATTGTGGCTGATGACAGACTGCAGACATTCATATGGACTAGAAAGATAAAGATTACACATTCAATTAACTCATAATACAAAAAATCGTCAGATAGTTAAGACAGACGCAATAATCACGAGAAATGAATCCGTGCTCGCACATGTGACGCACATGTAAATTCAATACATCTTATAAAACTCTCAACAATCGTGTTAAAGTGCAAAATGCATTATCCATATGTTCACATATATGTATGCAATGTATTAAGTCAAAAAGATTCACTTGAAACGCATCATTTTCACAATTAATTTGTTAATGCGTCAGAGCATGAAAAACCATACATACCCACAGCGTCGACACTTGAATCTGCTGTGGTAGGCTACGGCAAGAGAAGAGCGACAAAATCAAATATCTGCAGTACCATTAATAGCCACAGGAGGGGAGCCTTCTAACACCAATGAATACACCCAAATGCCTTATTTTATGAAATTCACACAAAATTTTAAATCAAAGGTTCTTTTTAACCCTGTTACATCCACCCCCACTGAATTACATAAAATATATGCATGACCCAGGGAGCGTTCAACAACGGGGCACTTTTCTTTCATAATAATACACAATAAAAACCATCACATTTCGAAAGGAACTCCTTCAGAAGGAAAGTCAAAAAAACAATTATCCCTTAAGGACGAATTGATGAGAGAGTAGCGCTAAGCTCTCTCACCAGCTTCTGACAGCAGAACATCTACATACATTCCGCAATATCCTTCCATACTTCATTCACCATTAAATACCAAAACAAATTTAAGAATTCTCTCTTTTTTTTTTAAGAGATACACAAGGTGTACTCAAAGATGTGAAGGCAACCCATTTCTAAAGGTATGTGCTTAATCTGAACTACTGCTTTTAGACTATAAAACAGCCGTAACACTATTTAAGACGATATGCCAACAGGCACGAAACTAGCAGTATTGTTCTAAATAGAGAAAGCCCTTAACACTGACTTGCAAACAGCTTGAACATTGTGTTTTGTATCCTGAACCACAGCTTGTGTAGACATTACATGTATTAATCTTTCAACAGGTCTAACGACCCGACCAAAACGTGTCCTAACCTGTGTGACTGAACTAGAACTTTGCGGTACATTCTCAGTGTCAGCTACGTTTGTGTTGGTAGGAGTTTGAGAGGGTGGCTGGGCAGACAGGACAGTCTCAGAACCAGATTCATGTGAATCTGAACCGCCGCTTGTGTCTCCATCAGAAACAGATGTTCTTACATCTCTTGACATGTCAGATAGATGGCTTTTTGGTGCAGAAGGGAAGGCCTCAGCTACAGGATCTACCAGAACTCCACTTGGAGTTTGTTCAGACTCATGTGATCCCTCATGCAGCCCCGAAACCCAGCTTAACGTTCTGTTTCTGGCATCAGATTCCTGAACTGACATAGAACCATCTTCACAATTGACATCGGCATAATCACATGAGGCTGTTGCTTTGCCTCTTGACATTACCGAATCATCCATTGTAACATTGCTGTAGCTATCCTCTGTATGCTCAGATACAACCGCATCTGCTCCTAAAGACTCATCCTCCACTGCACACAATGACAGGACTGAAGATGACCTCTGGCAAGAAGTGGATACACCAGAAAGTTGATCAGACTGAGGGTGCTCAACGTTCACTGGTAAGAAATTCACCAACATCAGCAAGTTTCGATGCACCACTTTTTCCTGACCTGTTGCTGGATTACGGATCCTGTAAGTATGAGTGTCTGGCTTACAATCCACAACAGTGTAAACAGTTGACTCCCACCTGTCAGCAACCTTCTTTTTACCCCTTTCAGTTTTATTCGCCAAGAGCACCTGGTCACCTTTTTCGATGAGTAGTCCTTTTACCCTTCGGTTATACAACTCTGCATGTCTTTTCTGTTCTTTCATTGCATGCTCCTGTGCGATTTGTAATGCTTCTTTCAGATCTTTGACCAGAGTGGAAACGAACTTGTCACAGCAGGTCACATCTGGATCATTCAAGACAGAGCGAAACAGAATGTCTATGGGCAGACGGGGTACACGCCCGAACATCAGATAAAAAGGGGCGTATCCTGTCGTCTCATGGATTGTGCAATTATACAGAAATGTCAGTGTCTGCAACCGTCTCGGCCAATCTCTCTTCACATCTGGTGACAAAGCCCGAATCATATTTCCAAGGGTTCTATTAAAGCGCTCCACACTTCCATTACCCATAGGGTGATACGGTGTTGTGTGCGACTTGTTCACTCCAGAGACCTTTAGAAGCTCTCGGATTAATTTACTTTCAAAACTCGGACCCTGGTCGCTATGGATGCGTTCTGGCAGGCCGTAGATGCAAAAATACCTGTCCCAAATTATCCTGGCCACCTGTTTGGCAGATTGATCTCTACACACAAAGGCTTGTGCTAGTCTCGTAAAGTGATCAGTTATCACTAAAACGTCAACCGACTTGTTAGTAGAGTCTTCAGCTGACCAGAAGTCTATGCAGACAAGCTGTAATGGTCTACTTGTTGAAATGTTCTCCAGGGGTGCTCTGCCAGAAGGATCAATGGTTTTGCTCACAGTGCAGCGGTGACACAAGCGCACATAATCCCTCACATTTCGCTCCATGTTCAGCCAAAAGAAGCGCTGCCTTGCAAGGCTCATACTCCGCGACTGACCTTGATGACCACAGTCGTCATGGATTCCTTTCAAGATCACACTCACTAAAGACTCGGGGACCACAAACTGAAAGCGTTTCTTCCTTGATAGTTGGTCACAGGACACTCTGTACAAGATACCACTTCTGACAACAAATTTCTCCCAGTGCCTCAGGTATCGAAGGACACACATTGATTCCTTTGACCTCTCTCTTCTTGAAGGCCTACGCTGGCGTTCAACATAATACAAGACTCTTGACAAAATTTTGTCTGTGAGCTGTTTTTCACGCAGCTCCTGTTCTGAATATGTTGGCAATGTGTCTTGCCCTTCTGACATCAACTGAGGTAAGTGATCAATGACAGACATTGCTCGTGCTCTGGCACCGATGTTCCACTCAACATGTGAGTCCAATATGGCAGAGACATCTGCATTTGAGACAGTTAGAAGCTCTTTGGTCTGCTTTATGTCTGGACTGCATGACTGGCCTAGATTAATGACACTCGGCCTCCTATCTGAATCACAGGAACGTCTGAATGCATCTTGCACAGAATCTGTAGACATCCCTTTGGAACCACCCAATAGTGCTCCATATGGCTCTTCAAGCAGTCTCTGCGTGATACCAGTTTTGACAAATGGAACCCTGCTCAGGGCATCAGCGACTATGTTCTGGGGACCAGGCACATACTTTATGTCAAAGTTGTAGCTAGCCAACTTAGCCACCCAGCGTTGTTCGCAGCAATCAAGTTTGGGTTTTGTAAGTATATGAGCCAAAGGATTATTGTCAGTCAAGACAGTGAATTCATGTCCTTTGAGCCAATGACTGAATTTATCACATACTGACCATTTTAAGGCCAAAAACTCCAATCGATGTGCTGGATAATTTTGCTGCGACCGAGAAAGGGACTTACTGGCGAAGGCTACAGGCCTGGCTTTTGTCTCTCCCTCTGTGACCTGAGAGAGCACAGCTCCAATACCGTCTAAGGAGGCATCCGTTGCCAGTATGAAAGGGCGGTCAAAATCTGGATGGGCAAGAACGACACTCTCAACCAATGCTGTTTTCAGCCGCTCGACTGCCTGGTCCTGCGCTTGTGTCCAGTCACTAGATTTCAGCTTCCTGGTCTGACGAGCATGACCCAGCTTCTTCAGATTTCTTGCTGTTGTCTTTTGACCCTTCAGAAGATTAAAAAGTGGCTTGGCTACGGCAGAATAGTTTGGAACAAAGTGCTGGTAGTAATTCACCATTCCCAAAAATGATCTTATCTTCTTCTGAGAAGGAGTTGTCCCATCAAGCTCCATCAAATCTAAACTGTTTATCTTAGAGATGCTTTCAACTTTACTTGGGTCCGTAGAGACACCCGTCTGATCAATCATATGCCCAAGGAACTTCACTGATTTCCTCATCAGGTGACACTTCTTTGGAGCCAGCTTTAGATTGTGTGTGCGAAGCCTGCCAAACACCATCTCCAAGCGATCAATAGCGGTTTTCTCATCTGGGCCGAAGACAATCAAATCGTCTAGATAACACAGAAGACTGAGAAAGTTTTCATCCCCAAATATGTTGGTCATCATTCTCATGAAGCTGCCAGGACTGTTGCAGAGACCTTGGGGTAATCGATTGTATTCGAAAAGGCCCATTGGTGTAGTAAAGGCAGTAAACTTGCGGTCCTCCTCATGCAGTGGCATATTATAAAATCCCGATGTCAAATCCATCGTGCTAAATAGGGCATTACCGCCAAGTGCTGCCAAGCAATCCGCTTGGTGAGGAAGAGGGTGTGCGTCCTTCAGCGTTCTCCTGTTCAGCCAACGGAAGTCGGTGCACACACGCAGGTCTCCATTCTTCTTCCAGACCAAAACGAGAGGAGACGCGTACTCGCTGGTGGATCGCCGAATTATCTCCTTCTCCTCCATTTCAGACAACACCTGTCGCAGTTTTTGGTATTGGCTGGGTGCTACTCTTCTGAACGGAAGCCTGAAGGGTCTGGTGTCCGAGAGGTGTATTCTATGGACAAAACCCCTTGCTTTTCCACAATCAAGATGGTCACGTGAAAAGATGTCTTCGTAACTCAGTAGTAGGTTCTGCAACCGTTGCTTGCAGGCATCCGAGATATCACACGCGTCAACGTCAAGACTGTCCAAACCAACTGACTTCAGTCGCTCTTCCACAGGTGACATGTCGGCCACATCAGACAAACTAGTGGGGCAATTCACCAGAAAAGGATTGACTGCACTGGTGTGATCAAGATCTTCAAGCGCAATGCATGGATAAAGATCTGCAATTTTTGCATTCCGTCTCAATAGTACTGGACTACCTGATGTGTTGATAAGTTTCAAGGGGACCCATCCATCTTTCCACAGAGATGTGATTAGTCTAGCCACCATAACACCTCTGGGAGCTGAGTGAGAAGATGTAGGTTCAGTCATGACTGCACTTCCCGGGGACACAACAGCGGATTTGGGCAGCTTCCCCCATACTAAATACTCACGACCCGGCTCTAGCTGGACAGCTGAATTGCATCTGACTGTTCCTATCTTCCCAGGAATCTCGTCTCCTCTCCAGCGGTCCAATCCGGCAAGCATCGACAAGAAACTTTCACACTCAGGGTCTGCTGAAGTTGGACTAGACAGAGCTTGCCAATATCCATCGCATAATTTGAAGTATCTCATAATGTGTTTAATGACATTAGTCCCAATTATCAGTTCATCATGTTGTCCGGGAACCACTAAGGTGGGAACTGCCATCTTTATACCATAAACTTCCATGGTAACATTGAACGATGATTTAGGCTTCACACGCAGCCCTCCGCAGCCTACAAGGGTGACATCAGTTTTGAACTCACTGGATTCATCCACTGCGCCAGCCGATCTCAGTTTCATCTCAGCAGACTCATTTATAGTGCAGGCCATCGAACCACTGTCCAGCATTGCATTTAATGTCACTGTGTCTCCAATCTTCACTGGTGTATAAAATAGGCTGTCACATCCGCCGACAATGTGTGTGTTCTGATAAATGACTTCTGAATGATCAAGACTTCCTTTGGCTAAAAGGTATGTATTCTCAGACTCACAGTCATCAATGGCTTGGGAGTTACAATGAAGACCCGCACTGTCTCCCTCTGAATACGGGTCTGCTAGTTTCCCTCATGTTGTGTCTGGGCAGAGGAGAGTTTAGGACAGTCCTTCTTTGCGTGCCCAGGGGAGAAGCATGCAAAACACAGTTTGTCTGTCATGCAGTGCGTCACTGTGGTGTGTTTGCTGTCATTACAAACTCGACAGGCACTTCTGACAAAACTGCGCTGCTGTCTAGCACCATGCCTTTGGTTGGAAACATCACGAAACTGCACCCTGCCCATGAGCTGCTCCATCATCTCCATCATTCGAGTGAGCAACTGACTCTCAGCCTGTTGTGTTTGTTGAGACATCACTGGAGCCGGAGTTGAGCAGGATGAGGGCTTATGCTGTGCCAGATTGGGTGCTGGCGTAGGCTCTGACTGGCGACATGCCTGACTATCAGGCGTGGAACTGAATGATTGGACAGGAACAGAGGGTGACTCAGTTTTAGGGCAATCGTACATAACATGTTCGCTGTTGAGCACTGCAGTTGTGTGGCTCCGTAGATTCGCTGTACTATTTCCCCGGCTTCTAAAGTCCCTTTGGTAATCATCAATCCTGCTCTGTATTTCTTTTGCACTCCATTCTTGAACAGGCTTGCATCTGAACATACTCGCCAAACTGGGGTCAGGACAGAATTTAACAAACATCCGTGTCACCTCTTCTCCTATGTTGTCGAAACTTTTGCCTTGTCTTCGCAGTCCCTCATCTGCCAGATCAGCCGCCTTGTTAATTCGAATCCAGTAGTCCACAGGATTCTCTTTGGCTCTGGGGAGAGTGGCATAGAAATCTGCGAGTGGCAGGCAAGAGGTAGATTCACTGAAGTACTGCATGAGAATGCCATAAATTAACTTAGGTTCCTGCCTGACGTTGAGCGTATCATCACTGCGAAGGCTGACTTTGACAACATCTCTTGCCTTTCCAGCTAGTCTGCTCATGATCTCTTCGGCTTGCTCATGAACAGGGCACTTTTGCTTTCTTAAGTAAGCTTTTGTCCTGTCCACCCACTCCTCAATGCCATACTTGTCAGAGCCATCGCCCCTAAATGAGTCATGTTCAGACTTCATGTGCACTGTAACTTGTGGTGCCATCATTTGTGTATGTGTACACTGTTCTGCACGTGCAGGTGTCTGATTGTAACTGAGTGAATTGGTTTGGCAATCGGCATGTGCATTAACTAAGCCAGCAGACACTAGTTTTGCAACTATTGACTCGCCAATTTGCGAACCTAACTGGCCTACCATGTCTGTGAGGTGGTCAAAAGCGACTCTATCAACACCAGGTGTCGAGGTGTATGGGCCCTCACCAGAAACCCGACCAACAGGAGTACCACCCGGGAACTGACTCAACCCAATACCCCTACTATTGTCATCATATAAATGTGGTCGTCCAACCCCCCGATTGACGTCTTCGCTGAAAGTACCACCCTCGGCGCTGCTCAGCAACCATGTACCCCTACCTCTAGGGAAACCCATGTTACCACAACATGATGCATCTAAATCACCAACATATTCAGGTTTCTCAGCCATAATGAAATCAAAAGTTGTGCCTGAAAAATGTTATTATGATTTTTCTAAATAAAACAAGAGAAATATCGACAATATTGATTTTGAGAAAACTCACTACTTGGAATTATATTTTGATTGCAATGACAGTCAAATCAGAACTACATTCCATGTGTCCATGCGTTGTGTATGTAATAACTAATGTACAGTCCCAATGACAGTCCCAGTGTGTGAGTGTTTTTATACTGTCCTCATCCAAAGCATTGAAGACTTGACCCTACTGACGAACTTGACCTGCTCCCAGCAATGAAGACTTGAACCACCGATGAACTCGATCTGCACACAGCAATCACGGTCGATCTTCATCAAGCTGATCAAGGGATCCACGGAGTCACGGCACCAGTGTAACGGATGTGAAAGGACACTCACAAATGGGATTCAGCTTCAGTTTATCTTTTTTTGGAAACAACAAGAAAGAAAAGTTACATTGTGGCTGATGACAGACTGCAGACATTCATATGGACCACAGCGTCGACACTTGAATCTGCTGTCAATCGTATTATTCACATTCAACACATAGTATTGATATACAATGTGAAAAACTTAACATAATACTCATAATAAGCACACCAATGTAAATGTACAGAATAGTTAATTGCAGACAACATCAGTAAATCTTCAATAATTGTCAAATAACATTTGTTAATAGAATAAACACGAAAGCAACATACCTTTTTTTGGAAACAACAAGAAAGAAAAGTTACATTGTGGCTGATGACAGACTGCAGACATTCATATGGACTAGAAAGATAAAGATTACACATTCAATTAACTCATAATACAAAAAATCGTCAGATAGTTAAGACAGACGCAATAATCACGAGAAATGAATCCGTGCTCGCACATGTGACGCACATGTAAATTCAATACATCTTATAAAACTCTCAACAATCGTGTTAAAGTGCAAAATGCATTATCCATATGTTCACATATATGTATGCAATGTATTAAGTCAAAAAGATTCACTTGAAACGCATCATTTTCACAATTAATTTGTTAATGCGTCAGAGCATGAAAAACCATACATACCCACAGCGTCGACACTTGAATCTGCTGTGGTAGGCTACGGCAAGAGAAGAGCGACAAAATCAAATATCTGCAGTACCATTAATAGCCACAGGAGGGGAGCCTTCTAACACCAATGAATACACCCAAATGCCTTATTTTATGAAATTCACACAAAATTTTAAATCAAAGGTTCTTTTTAACCCTGTTACACCTGCCTGTCACTAGTTTCTATATTTATAACATATGTCAAAATTGCTACTTTATGTATAAGAAACAAAAACAAAGCACTCAACAGCAAAGCCATAAAAACCTGCAGCACTCATTTAACTGTTTATTTAATCATGTTCGTTTCTGGAGCCGTTTTTATTTTTCTTCATCGTGTTCCTGAATACTCTGAAAGCAGAAAACTAGGTAGTATAATGTTTCATATTGTACCACCAGGATTAAATCCTTTAGTATATGGTTTACAAACCAAAGAGATAAGACACAAGATTTTTAAAGTTTGGTGTAGATAAAGAGAGAATTCTTGAATTTATAATGCAAATGTAAAGAAAATGTATTGTCAATATATATATATATATATGCCCTTTATGTTAGAGTTACATTTTCTCATTGATTATCCAGTTTCCAAAGGAAACAATTACACATGTACACCACATTCTTTCCCCCCCTTAAGATAAATAGGAGAATAAAGACATTGGCACGTTATTTAAACAATATTGAGTTGAAAGTGATTTAATAGAGTAAATTTAACAAAAATCTGCTTAAACTTGAATTTAAAATATTTTATCCAAGATTACTTAAGAAAATCAATAAAAGTATTGAATAAAATAATATTTTACTACATTATGTAAAACAAATATCACGGAAACAAATATAAACCCCACATTAAAAGGTAAGAGTCGATGAAGTTGTATTCAGAGTGCAACAAAACATACAGTTTGAGAAAATTATTAGCCTATAGGAAAAATCTATGATTGATTGAATACATTGCTGTGAACAAATACTTATTTTTAAATTTGTTAATCTATATGCAATGTAAAAAATAATATTGCTGCCATTTGACGAGTTCACACTTACGAATGATCAAAGAGTAAATGGTTATGTGAATTTGGCGTGCCGTCCAGGTGGAGGGCTCCAATTAGTATGAGGAACCACTAACAACCTCAGACCTGATGACCTCAAACTACGTGTCAGAGAATGATGCTGTATCAACTCAGAGATATAAGAAGGAGCTTGAGCATGTAGGGCTCTAAAATGTAAGAACCAGGATTTTAAGTTGAATTCTATGATGGATAGGCAACCAGTGAAGTACTGCTAATACAGGTGAGGTGCGTGCTCTTTTGTTAGTGTGAGTTAAAAGCCTTGCAGCAGAGTTCTGAACAGCCTGGAGACGATAAAGCTCCTTCTTGCTCAAACAGGTAAAAAGACTGTTAAAAAAATCTAAACGTGAGAAAATAAAATCATAATCAATTCTGTCCCTTTGACAACAGTATTCTTAATTCACACCCCTTTAGGGGCTCCATAATACAGCGCTTTTAACAAAGTAGATTGTTCCAATTCCAAAGAGGCTTTACATTGATAATAGGAAATTAAAGTAGATTGTTTTAGCTTTATGCCAGCTCTAGAATAAAGTTATTTTCCAGTTAAAGTTTTGATTGAGTCACTTCTGTCATAATTATCTATTAACGTGGGGGCCACTAAGGCCACGTTTACACAAAGCCGGGTATTTAGCGAAACAAAATATTTTCCCCCTCTCCGTTTTCAAAAATAACATCGTGCACACACCCGCATAAATATGCTGTTGAGTGCCATCATAACTATTCCAAACCTATGGGTGGCACTGCAGTGTAGGGAGAAGGATAAAGCCATGCAAGCCAATCAGAATCGACAAGAGAGAACCTAAAACCCTGTTTCTCCCAGTTCAAATGACAACACATAACCGGCATTTTCAGAAATCTACCCTTTGGCCGGAGTCTTTAGAAATAACCGTTTTCTGTGATAAAAAAAAGGGTTTTCATGTAAACGAGAAAGGCCAAATATCTTCGTTTTCCCTTTGTGTAAACGGGGCCTAATATGACAATACTAAAAAACAGACAGCAACACGTTAATCATGAAATGTAGAGAAGTAGAAAGACTGAAACAGTGTTTTCTTGTAAAACATATTCCAATATTCAATGTTAGGCTAATCATTTTTTAACAGTGTAACACTGTATGTAGGTTAACAGACTGTCATAAACATTTCAGAAAAAAAGTGTCAATAAATCAATATATTTTGGTTAACCAAGATTTATTATACAATAAATAAAAAAGAATAAAATAAAGAATTTTTTTTTTTCCTTTTTGATTTAAACATGGTTTGATTGGTATTGTTATTTCTTTTTTTTTTGTATTACAAATACTTATTATACAGTTTATTTCTTGTAAAGATATTGATTAGTATGAGCCATTGAGGACTAACACATAAAAAATGTAAAATATATAAGGTTAGGAATCTTCATACAACTTTATCAGTGGCTGTGATCATATAAAAAGTTTTACCCTCTGGGGTGATGGTATCATGGAAACACCCTTGAGCCACATATTAAAAGGTAACGGCTGATAAACATTTCTTCAGAGAAGTGCAAGTTCATATTTGGGTAACACTGAAAACTGAGTTGACTGTGACTTTATCAAGCAACATATAAATTAGTAAGTATGTGGTTTTATTAGACATTCAACTAATACTGGTTTAATAACATGTTTCTACGTGCCTTGTATGAAATACATTAAAATGCTTCCATGTTTTGTTAAAATTCTGATTGATTGTGCTTATTAGTAGGCCTATATGTAAAATAGTGTGCACTGTGAAACTTGTTCAGACAACAAGCGCTGTGTGTAAAATGTCATATACCTGTACAAGTTTATATGTGCACAAAAAAAAAAAGTCGTAGAATGCAATAATATGCATTTTGCTGCCTAAAGCTCATAAACTATGAAATGTCTGACTGTTACTCTGTCTGTAGGTTTTGTGTATAACAAGCAATGGATAACCGGACATTCAGACACAGCATTCTTCTAGTGGAGGGAATTCACGTTACACCTCAGTCTACCTATGTTGTTTTCAGCCTGCTTCTTTTGGTTTATATCTTTATAATGGTTTCCAATATTGCACTTGTAATTCTGATCTCAACAGAGAAGAATCTTCATCATCCTATGCATTTCCTGTTCTGTAACTTGCCATTGAACGACATATTAGGGACCACTGTCATTTTGCCACGCTTATTGCAGGACATTTTAAAAGAAGGTTCAGAGCGCTACATCACATATGTGGATTGTGTAGTTCAAGCCTATTTCGTGCATATTTTTGTAGCAGCATGCCACCATGTTCTTATAATCATGGCCTTTGACAGATATGTGGCTATATGTAATCCATTGCGATACACGACTATAATGACCAATAAAATGGTTTGTAAACTATCAGCATCAGCCTGGGGGCTTTCAGTACTTATGGTATCAATACTGATAGGACTCACTGTGCGCCTGTCTCACTGCAGATCTAAAATTGAAAACCCTTTCTGTGACAATGCCTCTCTGTTTAAACTGTCCTGTGAGGAAGGTGTTGTTGTTAATAATGTGTATGGAATCCTTTATACTGTGGTTTTATTTTCTTTCTCAATTTTGTCTGTATTCATAACATATGGAAAGATTGCTAATGTATGCATAACCAGCAAAAACAAAGCACTCAACAGCAAAGCCATAAAAACCTGCAGCACTCATTTAGCCGTTTATTTAATCATGTTGGTTTCTGGCTCCACTTTTATTTTTCTTCATCGTTTCCCTCTCTACGCTGAGAGCAGAAAACTAGCTAGTATACTGTTTCATATTGTACCACCAGGATTAAATCCATTAGTATATGGTTTACAAACCAAAGAAATAAGACAGAAATTTGTAAAATTTTGGTGCAGAGTAAAAGGAAAGTCTTGATTTATTATGTGATTAAATGGTTATTAGCACTTAATGTCAAGTCAGTAACTTCCCTTTAGGAATAGATACAAAGCAGTGGTGTCGGTAGCTCTTTAGAAACTTCTTTATGACAAAGTACTTCTACTTTAAATCAGTGTCCTCACATATTTATTAAAGTAAAGGATCTATGTTTATAACCTAAATTGTACTGAACATAATTTCTTGTACCTTGCTTTTATTTATAAAAATCTACCGAATAAATAAAAGGAAGTTTCTTAATCGAGTATGTATCTTTATCGCACCTCACAAAAATGCTAAAGGAATATTTTCAGTGTCACGGTCGCCGGTTGCAGTACAAAGGAAGTTGTCAGGATCTCTTTAAAACAGGGCTTTAAGTGTAAAATACTGAGCTTGTCCTATAATGAACCAAAAAATGCACACTATCATTTACCCTAGTAATGAATCAATGAAGGTGTTATACTTGCCTTGCTAGCAGCATGACTATACTATATTATACGGAACGGTTGGCAACCCTAGTACCTCGCTCGGACGCTAACTTAAGCGATTTAATGCTAACTGTTGCAGCCACCACTGCCCACAAACATTGATGCTAAATACTGCTAACTACGTGAAATAGTAGTGGAACGTCACTTACCGGCAAAAAAATGGTGCGAAGTCCTCCTACAGTGTCGGTTAGTACAGTTTATAGCAAAGCAACCATCTTATGCATGATATTTTAATAGAAATGTTCAGAAAGGATACAGAGGTATGATGTGTTGTGTCAGAAATGTAAAATTTCTGGAATTCTACTCGGTGCAGCCCGTTATCAGCTGTCAATCAAGCTGTCAATCAAAGTTAACCCTGCCCTTATTTGGAATACATTTTATATCTAAATACGATCTAAACTAACGAGTTAGAAAAAAAAAATCCACCCCCCTCACAGTTGTCAGGCACTTGGAACCTATCGAAAAATACAATAAAAGTCCATGGGACCAACCTGTAAAAATATGAATTTATGCTGTGAAAGTTTTCAGCTCCCTTTTGGGACCTCCCTCTAGTGGATTTTCGATGTATTGCAGTTTATCGCATTTCTGGGTAGGCTTCATTTTTCAGATTAGAATGTTGCCGCTTGGTGTTAAGCATACAGTAAAAGAAATGGACACAGCTACCCCATTGATTTCAACGGAGAACATTGAATGAAGCCTGTTAAAAGCTGATCGGCAGGCGTACTGCGCAAGCTCAAACTGAGCCTGTTACGTGAGCAATCTGTATGTCTTTTAGTGGCTGTACCGAGTGAAATCAGAGCCTTGGCACTTCCTATTAGCCCTATTGTGTATCATCTTGGTTGCAGTTCCATTAGAATTTCACTGGAGGTGATCGCGGACGAGCGCAGAATGAATGGGAGTCTATGGAGCTAAACGGCTAAATGTGTCTTTCACCTGCTTGTCGTTAAATCAACATAGATTTTATTGTTGATTCCGCAAGTTCAATATAGATTATATGCCAAAAGTCGAATGAACGAGTACTTATGTCCTTTCGATGTCTTACAGGTTAGGCCGTTGTTGGCCGGAACACACTAGCATTCTGCTATTGTGTGACGTCATCACATTTTTGAACGGTACAGGCTTTCAAATTACATCCTGAGAAAAGTGGATTTCTGGGGGTGAAACCCCATTGACTCCCATTCATTGTACACTTGACCGCGAGCGCCCCCGCATGGACAGAGACGTGTTACTGCAGCCAGTCCAGAAACCGGAAGTAACTAGCCAGTGCCATTTCTCTTCAATTAGACGTTCTCTGGTGAAATCTGAATAATTCCCTTCCGAATCTCACAGAATCTCACTTTTTTTTAATGATCTACAGACCAAAACAACCCATATTAGGCTATACAATAGAATACAATAGTCTTGCATTGTTCATTTTATTCAAATAAAATACTTCACCGTATGATCTCAACGTCTCTGTTTATTTTCTCATAACATTTCCACATATATACTATAGCTAGGTAGCCTCTGCATAGTTCGTCAGATACACAACAAAGTGCCATCAACTATTGTGCCTGTTACTTTCTTGAGTAACAGGCCCAATCAACGTAATTTCATAACAAGTCCAACCTAAAATTACGACAAAAACAATTTGATTTATGACTCTACACTTCATAAACATGAGTCACAAAAGCTCCTGGTTTCCACCAATACATACAGCCATAATAAAAGCAATACATACTGCAATATTTAGCAATGTAGCAGACAAATTCTCCATTCCTACCATCTCATTAGCTCCAGAGTCGTCTCCACACACGTTGTTGTTGGTCAAAGTCGTCTTTGTCAACGACCGAACGACGAATCTTAAACCACTTCTTAGCATCAGCTTAGTTTGCTGTAGGCCGAAAAACCCCCGCCATAATTTGATTCTGGGATCGGATGCACTGCGCAGCTGCGCAAAGAAATTACGTATAAACAATACTGTATGATTAACTAAATGAATTAATGATTTATACGATTTATTTATACTCGCACACAAACTGCATATTGTAATTTGAATAAATAAAAGTACTAACACAAAAATAACATATTGAAATGTCTGCTGCTGGAGACTTGCCATTGGCTGTTGTTTGCGAATAATTAATGAGGTAGGTTTTTGCAAGGTTTGGGTGCTGTTTTGGGATGTTTTAACAGACATTTATGAAAACAATTATATTTCAAGTTACGTTTTGTGTAATTACGCGTTGAATAATGAATTTATAAATCATTTCTGAAGATAATCTGTTATACATTTTTACCGTTGTAGAGCTTACCGCTCCTGTGAGAAGTTCTGTGGAAACTAGGCGACAATGGAAATGTCAGTTAAACAATCGGAAATGTTTTAAGTACATATCTGCCAAAAAATAAGAAATATATCATAGGGTCATGACTTATTTTGCAAGAAAAGTAGGTTGTAACTTCACTCTTGCCATAAACACTCACACTCAGCACAGCAGCCTCATTGCTCATGGCAACATATTCTATGAATCGTTTTTTCCCCCCAAAGGGGTTATGGCAATGTCACAGAGAACTATATAAGCCACACATTAATAGGCAAAAACAGGTCGTACTGTTCGACCTAATCATTATTGGGAGGATCATAATCAGAGTGCGGCAAGATACCACTGTTACATTTATAAAGTAAAACTCAATACTGATAAAGATGATTGTAATTTGATATTAGACAAATGTACCATTGTTCATCTACACTTGTATATATATATATATATATATATATATATATATATATATTAGAGAGAGAGAGAGAAATGCTGAATATGAGACAGGGAAATGCTATTCATTTGTAATGTGAATTTTACACAAATAGGTAAGGTAATATGTTTAAGAGAATATGTAGTGATGTCTATTTGTTATGTTTGCAGATTTTGTGTACAGCAGCCAATGGACAACTTGACATTCACAAACAGCCTTCTCCTCGTGGAGGGACTGAAAGTTACACCTCAGTCATCTCAGCCTGTTTTCATAATCCTTCTCTTGGTTTATGTCTTTATAATGGTATCAAACATTGGACTTGTATTTCTGATCTCAACTGAGAAGAATCTGCATGACCCAATGCATTTTCTGTTCTGTAACTTGCCACTGAATGATATACTCGGGACCACTGTCATTATGCCACGCTTATTGCAGGATATGTTAAGGGAAGCCTCAGAGCGCTATATATCATATGCAGAGTGTGTTATTCAAGCTTATTTTGTGCATGTATTTACAGCAGCATGTTACTGGGTGCTAATGATTATGGCCTTTGACAGATATGTGGCTATATGTAATCCATTGCGATACAATTCTATAATGACCAATAAAATGGTTATTAAACTCTCAGCATTGGCTTGGGGCCTGGCCATAGGTTTAGTGACAATTATGGTATCACTTACTTTGCGTCTGTCTCGCTGTAGATATAAAATTGAAAACCCTTTCTGTGACAATGCCTCACTATTTAAACTGTCCTGTGAAAATGTAAGTGTTAATAATGTTTTTGGACTTGTTTATACCATAATTGTAGCCAGCCTGTCAGCACTTACTATATTTTTAACATATGTCAAGATTGCTGTTGTGTGCTGTAGCAGCAAAAACAAATCACTCAACAGCAAAGCCATAAAAACCTGCAGCACTCATTTAACTGTTTATTTAATCATGTTCATTTCTGGCCTTACTTTTATTTTTCTTCATCGTTTTCCTGAATACTCTGATAGCAGGAAATTAGCAAGTATAATGTTCCACATTGTACCACCAGGATTAAATCCCTTAGTATATGGTTTACAAACCAAAGAGATAAGACAAAAGATTGTAAAAAACTGGTGGAGAAAAAAGTGAATTCTTCAATGGATTATAAATATTCATAACATAGTTCATATTATTTGAAAGGATTTTTTAAAATGTGAAATTAATATTTTAATAATAATAACATTGCAAACACTGTAACTTTGTTCTGTACTCAAATCCTTTTCAGTATTTATCAGGTGTTTGTATGAGAATTGTTGACTTAAAATGTAACCTAAATTTAAATTAAGTTGTAAGCACATATTACCTGGGAAAAAAAATAAAATAAACAACATGAAATAAACAACATTTTGGCCTATTACAAGCACAAAAAGCAACTTTAAAAAAATGAGACTCTTTAAAGGGGTCCTTGATTGTGATTTCACTTTAACTTTAGTTAGGCCACATCCACACAAAGCCAGAGCTTTCCCTATCAGATGATTTTTTTCCTTGTTATAAAAAAAAAAAATTCTGTAAACACGGCGGTGTCTCTAAAAATATCTGCGTCCACACGAAACCTCTGAAAACGACTCAAAACGATGTAATATACATCGCAGACCAGTGTGTGGCGCTGTAACTTTGCCATAGAGATACACTAAAAATCCGAGAAGCAGAGCATGCGCATAGTGGGAAGTTCGGATCATTTTACTGACTCGGATCTTCGAGTCTCGTTCAGCAAAATGAACGAATCTTTTTTCGAGTCATTTCGTTCATTTCAGCATTATATATGGAATAAATATCCCAAAATATCTAGAACTTACGAAAATCTTGATTACATTTGTAAAAAGAATAAAAATAATATAAATAACTATAGTGTAATGCAGTTAAAGCCAAATTATAAGCAACTGAAATAACTGTATTAATTGATTAGTTGCTGGGTCTCAAGTTCAGGCTTTTGCTGTCTGATTCTGTTAGTTCACCTCACCTCCTGATGCGAAACGTTCTTTCCTTTGCAACTTCATATTTATCAGGTTTGTTCTCCTCTTCTCGTGTCTCGAAACGTTAGCTGTTGACTCGTCAGTGTCTGACTCTGATCTGTGCTGTGTCTGCTGGTGCTGGGCCGTGCCGTGTGCATACAGCAGGACCGGAAAGAGTAATGAATAGTTCATCTCTCGAGTTCGGGTTCGGTCGGGTCCGAGTCTTTCGTTCTTCCTGTTAGTCCCATAGAGGCTACTTTTATTGTGTCACGAAATTTAGTTTTAAATTGAGTTTTTCAGTCGAGAACTTTAAAAAAGCTGGGACCCATCTCTTCAATGGGACCAGAGCCCGTCTAACCTCATCATCTTGGTTGCAGTTCCATTAGAATTCCACTGGAGGTGATCGCGGGCGAGCGCAGAATGAATAGGAGTCTATGGGGCTAAACGGCTAAATGTGTCTTTTTCACCTGCTATTCGTTAAATCAACATAGATTTTATTGTTGATTCCGCAAGTTCAATATAGATTATAGACCAAAAGTCGAATGAACGAGTACTTATGTCCTTTCGATGTCTTACAGGTTAGGCCGTTGTTGGCCGGAACACACTAGCATTCAGCTGTTGTGTGACGTCATCCCATTTTTGAACAGATTTTTAGAACAGATAAGTGAACTTAAAAATGCAATTTTCAGCTGAGTGTATTATCTTAGCCCTCCCTTTTGAATGCAACTTTCAAATTACTTGACAAAAAATTACATCCTGAGAAAAGTGGATTTCTGGGGGTGAAACCCCATTGACTCCCATTCATTGTGTACTCGACCGCGAGCGCCCCCGCATGGACAGAGACGCGTTACTGCAGCCAGTCCAGAAACCGGAAGTAACCAGCCAGTGCCAATTCTCTTCAATAAGACACTCTCTGGTGGGACTCATCTCTTCACCACACCGTCGTAGGTGGGGTGCGAGCATACTGTAAAAAAATATGGACGTAGTATCCGTGACGTCACCCGTGGGATTGATTCTGAAGAGCGTTTTTGAAGCTTAAAGTGGGCGGGCCAGTCGTCGCCATCTTGGCAGCGCGTCACCTCTCGTCACTATCGGATAAAATAAAATGGGTAAAGAGGTGTGACGTGGGTGGAGCTGAGGTGCAAATGCTATATGCTAGTGCCGCGCTGAAGTGACAGCTGATTGAAGAATTAAAGCCAATAGTTAAAGTTCATGTTTTTGCCCTTCGAAATATTGTAATATTATAATAGTTAAAAGACACAACTAAAAGACGTAACAACGCAGTTTCAATCGTAAGTGGACACAACCATGGCCCTCTCTCCTGACTCCGTACCACTGCTCACTGAGTTATGCTGACCATGACAAATTTATGAACAATTTTACATAGTGCCCTTTTAATATATATTTTATTCTAATCTAGAGTATGTTTGCTTTAGTTTGCCCCAAATTAATTAAAAAGCATGAACTAACGTGTAGTTAAGATGATATATTCATGCAGGAATTCATGACTCATGTCGTAGTTAAGGTTAGTTCTTCATTATGTCTTAACTCATCATTAGTTCATAGTACAGTAATTATTAATTCAGGTATAGTACATGAATATTCATGTAGTGTTATTATAAAGTGTTGTTATTGTAAATGCAAGAATACCCTTGCATTATAAATGCAAGCTTCATAAAAGTGTTGCCAAAAAACACGACCCCTGCAGGTAACAAGGCCATTTCAACATAACAATATCATTACAGTTTCAGTGGCTGCGTTCATCGCAAACACCCCCCATAACAATAATCTCTTGGGTAATGACAGTGTCACATTGAACCGCATATTTAAAGGCAAAGACTCGCTAGTATTCTTCAGAAAAAAGTAAGTCATTATTCATGTAACCCTAAATACTGATAGAATTGACTGCTAATGAATTAGTCAACTTGAAACAATCTGTCAACTATCTTGGTATTACTTTATACATAGCAAAAGCATTCATTTGATTATAAATTAAGGTAATGTGATTCACAAATAATACAGTATATAGAAATATGTTAGAATTAGATTTTACTGTTTACAAGAACATATTTTCTGTGTAATCATCTGTGTGACATGGTCATTTTACACAAATAGGTACGGTAATATGTTTAAGAGTATATGTAGTGATGTCTATTTGTTATTATGTTTGCAGATTTTGTGTACAGCAACCAATGGACAACCTGACGTTCACAAACAGCCTTCTCCTCGTGGAGGGACTGAAAGTTACGCCTCAGTCTTCCTATCCTATTTTTTTCCTGATTCTCTTGGTTTATATATTCGCAATGGGATGTAACATTGGACTTATAATCCTGATCGCAACGGAGAAGAATCTTCATCATCCTATGCATTTTCTGTTCTGTAACCTTCCAGTGAATGATATACTGGGGACCACTGTCATGTTGCCACGCTTATTGCAGGACATTTTAAAGGAAGCCTCAGAGCGTTATATTACATATGTGGAGTGTGTTATTCAAGCCTATTTTGTGCATATATTTGCAGCAGCAAGCCATTATGTGCTAATGATTATGGCCTTTGACAGATATGTGGCTATATGTAATCCATTGCGATACACGACTATAATGACCAATAAAATGGTTATTAAACTATCAGCATCAGCCTGGGTGCTGTCAGTATTCATCGTGTCTATTATGTTAGGTCTCACTATACGTCTGTCTCGCTGCAGATATAAAATTGAAAACCCTTTCTGCGACAATGCCTCACTGTTTAAACTGTCCTGTGAAAGTGTGGTCATAAATAATGTGTTTGGAATAATTTATACTGTGATTGTCTTTACCTTCTCACTTGGGTCGGTGTTTATAACATATACCAAGATTGCTACTGTATGCATAACCAGCAAAAACAAATCACTCAACAGCAAAGCCATAAAAACCTGCAGCACTCATATTGCTGTTTATATCATCATGTTTGTTTCTTGTGCCACTATGGTTTTTCTTCATCGTTTTCCTGAATACTCTGACAGCAGGAAATTATCTAGTATAATGTTTCACATTGTACCTCCAGGACTAAATCCTATAGTATATGGTCTACAAACCAAAGAAATAAGACAAAAGTTTGTAAAGTTTTGGTACATAAATAAAGTTAATCACAAAAAATAAATTGTAAAATAAATAAAAAGACGATCTGAGCCAAATTTGGTAAAGATATTATGAATGTTGCAGAAATACACATTGTATGTGAACAATTTTTGTCATTGACTATACCAGTAATTGTCTGCTTCATATCTGTAAAATCAGCTTGAGTAGTTTTAGCTGATTATTGTTTTTGATAATGCAAAACAACAAATTGTGTGTTTGATATGGAATAATTTATTGAGAGCAGAATGAAAACCAGCTCTTGACCAAATAGCTTTTGTAGCATATTTTGTTCAGTTTTTTTGTTTTACATTTGATCACTTTATTCTGTTTATTATTTCTTCCTTGAATAGGCCGAACAAAAAGAGGCCCTGTTTTTAAAGATGCCCTGTTATGCAAGATTCCTTTATTGTTTCTGAACATATTTATGTTTCCGCAATGAATGTACACAACCACCCTTTGTGGTAAAAATCCATCCTCTCCATTTTGTCATTTTACCCATAAATGTAAAACAGTGGCTGTATCCGAAATCGCCTGCTATATACCCTCATCCTGCATTAGTCCACTAATTTAGTTCACTTGAGGGAGTGAATGAAGACAAGTGAGTGAACTAGGTGAATTAGAACACGGACACTTTTGCATAGTTTGTGTTTGCTGTTTAATAATTATTTGAAACTTAGAAAAACTGTATGAAAAGATTTATCTTGACCTTTGTCATGGAGACTATATGAGCCTTAATTAAACATTGTTATAATCAATTAAAAGGAGTTAATACCTGTATGATATTACACTGTTGCCACATATTGGACCAGCGTGAAATAGAGGTTTCAGTTGTGAAAGCCATCTTCTGGATGATATGTCCCCTTTAAATCGGAGACAAACACTCAAGACACACAACTGTCAGCATGACGAACGAATGAAGTGAGTGATATTACGTTGTAAAAAAAAAATCATGATGTTACAAAATAATATTTAACAATCTGGGGTCCCCTGAAAATAAAATATAATTCCCTATATATGAATTGTCAATATATTAAATGGTTCAGCACAGTATATTTGAAAACAATAGGGCTGCACGATATATCGCATGATATTGTTATGCGCATCTAATCAGCAGCTGGTTCCTTAATTAGTAGTAAATCACCTTCACCTGCTTTCAGATGGATGATAAGATGCAGATATGAGTGTTAAAGTTAATGAGATAATTAAGTGATTAATTTAGTGATGATTGAGCATTATTGAAGACACCTGATAATAACAAGCAGAATCGCTAAAGGAGAAAATCTAAAATTGTAAGCCACCGTTATGGCAATCAGTGTCTACTTTAGTTGGGCTCTTGACCCTTTTCACTTTAAATTTTGTTTGTCTGCTATTATTGATTTATTAAAGTCAAATGAACAAAGACAACTGTGGTCTGATAGTGTTGGTTATGTTTTGACACAATCATACTGTGATCTTGAAAAATTAAACCTATTCAGATGATTTGGATTAACTTGTTAACAGTTTAGTGGTTCTACAGCATAATCCATATTTTTCTTATAACCCAAAACATTTAATAAACATTGTTCTGATCAAATCACTTTCAAATGCATTTATTTAGAAACACGGATATCAATAATCAGCCTGTGTATCTCAACCGTGGTGACAATAATAATCAGTGTTGCCACCAATCACAACTCATTAATGGCTCCCATCATGCATTACGGTATGAATAAATTATGACCTGAATTGTCCATGCAATTACTTTTCCTAATTGAATATTCTGCTCGTCACCATTGTTGAGATGAATTGAGTGAATCTTGAGGTCTGTGTGTGCCTTAAAGAAAGATTGTTTTTAAACCACTTTTAAGAAATCCATTATATTCTATCTCAAATTCTAGATATTTAGGCACAATCTCAGTTATGCTGTAACCAACAGAATAAATCACAATCATAAATTTCAATTGATGAACGTCAAAACATAACCAACACCATTATATCACTTTTTTTTCTTTGTTCATCTGGCATGTATAACTCAGATACAACAGCCAAACAAAGGTACAAAAGGTAAAAAAGTTCTTATTGAGAATTAATAGAGCTTTAGATGTTGATGTTTTATTAAAAATAATAGTTTGAATTGATGTCACCATTATGGTGATCAGTATGATGATACTGATCACCATAATGATGATGATGATAAAGAAATAAATCCATATGTGTACTCTGATCTTATCTAATACTGACAAATGTGTTAATACTTTTATATTATTTCATATGATTATAGTAATGTTACTACAGATTGAGGTCCAACAAGGTTAACAAAAAAATCTGTTTAATTGTTTAAAGTAGTTAATAGTCTTGTTAGATCTGCGTGTATATATATTCCCTGTCTGTGTCGGTAAGTGTACGGAGTCGTTATTTGAGGTCACCACTTCTGAAGTCTGTTTTTGAGGTTGCTCGTGTTTCGTTTTTATGTTTGGTTTGATTATTTGGATTTTGACCCTTGCCTGGAAGACTACGATTTTGGATTGCCCTTATTTATTAAAACTATTGCTTTTGGATCTGTCCCCTGTGTGTGTTCGTGACAAGCTGTGCCGCTGAAAATGTGTTTTAAATATAGGTTTCAGTAAATAGAGAAAAAGGAGTTTTCCCACTGCGTATAGCTATGCAATACTTTGTTCCCTCAGGGTTACGTGGATATCCAAGTAGTTTTCCCCTTTGGGATGATGACAACATCACAGAAACACTGTTAAACCAAATAAAAGCTAAGGTCATGTAAACAGTTTTTCACTTAAAGCTAGCATCTTTACTGTCATCTTTCTTGATAGCAACAGGGACCTGAGTAAGTATTAGACAACTAAATTATACAATACATAACTTTGTAGCAAAAACAGCTTCCAGGTTCTTTTCAGGTTCTATGAAAATGTTCAGATGTGCATTTGTGAACCATAATTTACTATTAAAAGATCATACATTGAATCAGTATATGTGAATGCAGAGTGGAATGCAGCAGTATCAGATAAAATGTTATTAATGACAATTTTTTTTGTTACTCTATTGGTAATGTTCTCAATAGGTATAGGATTGTGCAGGGCAGCCAATGGACAACCTGACATTCACAAACAGCCTTCTCCTCGTAGAGGGACTAAAAATTACAACTCAATCTTCTTATCCTGTTTTCATCTTGCTTCTTTTGGTTTATGTCTTTATAATGGTCTCCAACATTGGACTTGTATTTCTGATCTCAACAGAGAAGAATCTACATCATCCTATGCATTTTCTGTTCTGTAATTTGCCGATAAATGATATTCTTGGTACAACTGTCGTTTTACCACGCTTAATGCAAGACATGTTAAAGGAAACCTCAGAGCGCTATATCACATATGTGGAATGTGTTATTCAAGCTTATTTTGTGCATATATTTGCAGTAGCATGCCATTATGTGCTAATGATCATGGCCTTTGACAGATATGTAGCTATATGTAATCCACTCCGATACACCGCTATAATGACCAATAAAATGGTTATTAAACTCTCAGCATCAGCCTGGGGGCTTTCAATATTCATGGTGTCAATTCTGTTGGGTCTCACTTTACGTCTGTCTCGCTGCAGGTCTAACATTGAAAACCCTTTCTGTGACAATGCCTCACTGTTTAAACTGTCCTGTGAAAGTGTGGTCATTAATAATGTGTTTGGAATAATTTATACTGTGATTGTCTTTACCTTCTCTCTTGGTTCTGTAGTAATAACATATGGAAAGATTGCTACTGTATGCATAACCAGCAAAAACAAATCACTCAACAGCAAAGCCATAAAAACCTGTAGCACTCATATTGCTGTTTTTTTAATCATGTTTGTTTCTTGTGGTAGTTTTATTTTTCTCCATCGTTTTCCTGAATACTCTGACAGCAGGAAATTAGCTAGTATAATGTTCCACATTGTACCACCAGGATTAAATCCTTTAGTATACGGTTTACAAACCAAAGAGATAAGACAAAAGTTTGTAAAATTGTGGTTCAGAAAAAAGGTGAATCCCTAATTTAATGTTTTTTTTTTGTTTGTTTTACACTATAGCAACTAATGAAACAAATCTAAACATTTCTGTATTGTATTATTTTTAAATACACATGTATCTTTTTCACTGAAGCATTTTGTGCATGTTATTCTTATCCTTGATTGTCAGGGAGAAAATTGGGGGGGGGCTGTAGCACTTTATCTTGTATTAATTTTTAAAGTATTTCTCACCCTTTATCATGCATCTATTTGGTAAAAGAATACACTGAAAATAAGCAATTTTATTTGAACTAGAGGGCTATTTTAAATGTAGTGAATTGGGCATATATAATTATAACCAAAAGACAGTATCTATTTTGACTAAATGTTTCCATCTTTATCTTTTTATTATAGGAAGTTTGTAAATTCCCCTCCAGAATACTTTTCTTATCTAGGATCTTCTCTAGGAAAATTATTATATTAGAGTTTGTAATATAAAGCAGATCTATTTATAAAAATTAAATTAAGTTAATTTACTGTCTGTCAGACATTTACAGACTTTTTACGTTAAACAAATTGTAATACATAATTACCGGCAAGGTATTGCAAGTACGAGTAAAAGGCAAGTGAAGTGCTTTGATTACTTTTCACTCATGTCTGAAACCTGACAGTTGCTTAATTTCTATAACTTTATTTATTTGTCTGAAACATGAAATAATTGCCGTAAGTATAAGCAAGTAACATCTGACCTATACAAATATATAATATAGTCCTTTTAATTGCTTTAGAGCACTATTTTACTAACAGTAAACTCTTGACTCTTGTCTTAACCCTCTGGGCTTCTTCGGTCAAAAATAACCGAAAACTGTTACGTTTTGAAATGTTTAATTTTTTTGCTACATCGGATGGGGCTGAAACTTGGTGACTTTTGTTGTATTACCTATATGAACACACACAAAAAAAATCAAGGAGATGATTCTGATTTGTTAAAGGGTCGTAAAAAAAGTCACACTAGCTTCCTCCCGGTCAAAAATGACCGACATAGGAAATGAATGGGAAATACGAAAAAACAGGAAAACTCAGAGAAACTTTTGGTGGTACAAGCTACAGATCAGCAACTGTGCAGAAAAAAAGTGTACAGCAATGAAGGGGTGACGCTCTAAAATATCAAGAGTGCAAATAAGACCCCCCCCCCACACACACACACACACAAACACATACACAGAAAAACTGGCAAGACTGTAACAGTAAATTTGTAGAATATGCAAAATAAAATCACCAAATGAAAAAAAAAATCTTACTCAAATGCAAAACACACACACACACACACAGAGAGAGAGATTCACTGGTAAGACTGCAACAGCAAATTTGTAGAATATGCTAAATAAAATCAACAAATGAAAAAAAAATCTTGCTCACATGCACACACACACACATACACACATAGAGAGAGAGATTCACTGGTAAGACTGCAACAGCAAATTTTGAGAATATGCTAAAATACAAGAAAAAAAATACAAAAGAGACTCGCTCAAATGTGTGCGCGCACACACACACACACAGACACACACACACACACAGAGAGAGAGAGAGAAAGAGCGAGAAAATTAACTTAATTAGTATTATTTTATGTTTATTCCTGTTCGATCATTATTGCTGTTCCCTTATGAAGTTTATTACTTATTGAATAAAAAATTAATAAAAAAATACCAATTTATTGCAAAATGTCTGTAAAGTGTTTTAAATTATCACTAACCATCCCTTCTTTTGTTCAATTATTTGAATTATCAAATACTGAGTAACAAAAATGTTTGCATTGTGTTCCCTTTCTAACCAAATGCTATTGTTTGATTGTAATCATAATGCAAAACCTGATACTTATCTAAAAAAAATTGTTAAAAAAATAATAAGTTGTCTTTTAGAATATCTAAATCTATATCTAAATAAAAAAACGAATAAGATAGAGAAATCATGTCTAAAACAACAACAGAAATCAAAAAGCCTTTCTATGTATTTATATAGGAAGCTATAGGCAGCCTACAGGCTGTACAGGAGATTGCACACATGTAACTATTTTTTAAAGCCACAAGGTGGCGCTCTTCTACTTGAAAATTTTTTTTTTTATAAAGCTGGCACTCTATTTTGATGTGAATTGTTGCATTTATTGAAAAAAAATAAAAAATAAATATAAAATAAAAATATATATATTAATTATAATGGAAAAAATAGCTCTTAAAAATTATATAATTAATGCAAAATATCATAGAAAACTCTGAAAATTTTAAATAATAATCAGAAAATATTATAGAACAAAAATATATTTAAACGGTTATCCTGGGAAAAAGTAAAGTTAAATTTTAAGGCTTCGTCCGTTTTTGACCGGGAGGAAGCTAAGTGTAATCCATTTACGAAGAAGCCCAGAGGGTTAAGTAGCCTATGCTGGTGTGGATTTCTTGTTGTGATGAGGTTCAATAGGTAAGGAAGAAAGGGTCAGTGTGGCTGGGACTCGGGAGTTTGTTCACAATTCACAACATAAACAGCAATAACACGCACAACTTAAAAACTATAAAGCATGCCCAAACCAACCAGCTCTAACTTCTGATAGGATAAAGTAAGTCGCTGATAGGCACGCAGGAAGTATGGCAGAGGGATACAGCGTCTGATTCCCTTTTCAGGTTACAGTCGTAACCAATACGTCCCTTTCAAGGGAACACTGTGGGAAAGTTTATACCCACACCACCAAAATGACAAATGTGATGCGTCTATTTCGCGTGAAATCATGAAGAGCACCACTAAGACGAAAGTAGTGAGTTGTAGATTGAAAGTAGTGAGGAAATGATCTAAACGTGGAGAGGTTTCACCAAAATGTTGTCTGTGATGCAGTTGCGTGTGTAAACCAAGTACAGTTGTTTGCCTGACTTGTGAGTACCTGTGGTGATGAGCCATTTGAGATCGAATGAGGCGAGGGGAGAGATGAAGTCTGTAGCATACAGCTTCTCTAGATGAATGTTGAAATCGACAAAGACTACTAGTGGAGTGCCTTCCTCAGGGAAAGAGGACAGCAGCACATCCAACTCCTCTACAAAGCTTCCCAGTTGACCTGGGGGGTGATAAATGACTACATTATGGACCTTAATGGGAGTTGTCAGTGTAATACATGTAAATGTAAACCTATCGTCCAATTATTAGTAATGTGAAGACCAGTGCGAGAGTAAGAGAAGTTGTTGGAGAGAGCAGCAGGAGTTGCTGAGTCTTCTGGACAGATCCAGGTCTCAGTCAGGCCTCAGATATTAAGAGTGAATGAGATGCAAAGGCTGGAATGAAGTCAGCTTTACCGACTGAGTGAGATTTGAGAGTGAGGATGAGAGAATAGGACGCAGATTAGCAGTATTGCACTGCCTTCTGTGCATGATGAGAGAACGTTTTCAAGAGATAACAGGGATGTATTGAAAGCACATGTTGTTTAAGGGAAATCGGATGAAAGGAAAAGGGGGAAGAAGATATTTAAGTGCTTAGCTGGTGTCCTTGCTCGTGGAATCACACAGGTGTAGAGTCGATGGTCTTTGCCCGAGTTGGTCTTAAATGCAAGACATTTTAATACATACTCAGGTTTAATAAGTGAGGAGAGTCTCGGCCCAGCAATTAACACACCACCCTCAAATAAACCGAAAATGTGTCAAATCGAAACCAGCCGTTGGCCAGTGACTCACTTAAGTGCTATGCAATTTAGACTGCAATACTATTCAAACCCAGCTGTTAAAAAAAGTAGGAACGCGTCCAATTAAAATACAGATTTGTGAGAAGGTGAAAAATTTAAATAACCACAGAATCGAAAATAGCCCTACCTTGTGATAAATACTAAGCTAAAACAACAGAAGAACTGGATATTACCAAACAATGAATTTCAGACACAAACACGTCAAAAACAAACTCAAATTCAAAACGTAATTCTGATTGAATTCATTGAATCTGACGGGAGGAAACTAATATGACAATAAATATAAAATTGCTCAGTATTATTTCAGGAATTTGATCTTCTCAACTGAGAGCACATGCTGTACTGTATTGTATTATAATGATGTTTTAATTAGATATTATCATGTTTGGTTCTGTTTCAGTCCATGTCTCAAGTCAAGTTGTTTATTTTGTATTTATTTTAATAAACTGCACTTGGGTTCTTCAACTGTACTTGCCTTCAGTGGACGGGTATTTTGCATATGAATTGTTCTAGGAACCTCAAATCTTATTTTAATTTGTGTGTATTTTGTGCTACTCCATAATGATGTTCCAGTTTGTTGTATAGGTAGTGTCCAAACATAAACTTAAGCCCAGGGGCTTCCCTGAGGACATTGTTCCAGTGGGTGAATTCTCTTTGGGATGATTACAGTATCATAGAAACACCTTTGAACAACATATTTAAAGGAGAACGCAAATATTGTTTTCTTTAGAGAAGTACATGTTATAGGTTTTGACTATATTACATACAGGGTTGCCTTCTATTCTGTTCCATGCAATGAATGTAGCAATAAATCAATTGCACAGTTGGTAAGTATTGAATACTATTATACATGTAAATATGGAGTACAATTAAGTTACTGCATGTATTTACTATAAGGTTAGGATTAGGTTTTTTGTTGTACTACTACGTTGCATTTATTTATTTGTTTTATAAGTACTTCAAGTTGAAATGCTAATAATGAAATGCTTGATCTGGATGTTTCTTTCTCCTTAGATTTTGTGAAGAGCTGCAAATGGACAACCTGACATTCAGACACAGCGTTCTCCTCATTGAGGGCCTGAAAGTTACACCTCAGTCCTCCTATCCAGTTTTTATCCTGCTCTTCTTGGCTTATGTCTTTACAATGGTATCTAACTTTGGACTTATAGTTTTGATCTCAACGGAAAAGAATCTTCATAATCCTATGCATTTTCTTTTTTGTAACTTGCCACTAAATGATATGCTTGGGACTACGGTTATTTTGCCACGCTTAATGCAAGACATTTTACAAGACACCGAAGAGCGCTATATCACATATATGGAGTGTGTCACTCAAGCATATTTTGTGCATATATTCATAGCAGCATGCCACTATGTGCTGATAATCATGGCCTTTGACAGATATGTGGCTATATGTAATCCACTTAGATATTCAGCTATAATGACCAATAAGATGGTTATTAAACTATCAGCATTTGCTTGGGGCCTGGCCGTTCTTTTGGTGACAATTATGTTAGGTCTCACTGTGCGTCTGTCTCACTGCAGATCTAAAATTGAAAACCCTTTCTGTGACAATGCCTCTCTGTTTAAACTGTCCTGTGAAAGTGTGGTCATAAATAATATTTACTGAATTATTTATACTGTGGCTGTACTCTGCTTTTCATCAGTTTCTATATTTATAACATATGTCAAGATTGCTGTTGTGTGCAAAAGTAGCAAAAACAAAGCACTCAACAGCAAAGCCATAAAAACCTGCAGCACTCATTTAGCTGTTTATTTAGTCATGTTTTTTTCGGGAGCCATCATGACATTTCTCCACCGGTTTCCTGAATACTCTGATAGCAGGAAAATAACAAGTATAATGTTCCACATTTTACCGCCAGGATTAAATCCCTTAGTATATGGTTTACAAACCAAAGAGATAAGGCAAAAAGTAGCTAAACTTTGGTGGCGAAAAAAAGTTATTTCTTTGAAATAAAATATTTATCTTTTTTTACTAGAATAATTGGGGGGAGCTATTTTCTTCACAATTTATCGTTTCTTTTCTCATACAGAATATGGTCAATGGTTTAGACATTTCTCCTTCAGACTATTCTGCGACTATTCTGAAATTCAATAGTCATTTTCATACAATGAATGATGCAAACCATTTTCATTTCAAATGATTGTAACTTTCAAGTACAGAAATTATTATCAGACATTATGTAAGCAAATCAATTATCTACTTATATATATATATATATATATATTTACACTCAAAAAACAATTATGTCTAATTTTAAGATTTATGTATATTTGAATTGTATATAACACTTCCATCCATTTGGATTGTAGTTTTAAAGAAACTAATAATCTGAATGTGATTCATATTTGTCAGTCATACATAAATGAAATAGGTATGATTTATGCAACAGTTTTAAGAAACTGAACGTGCCTTATATTTTTTTGTAACACGTGAATGAAACCGTTAAGATCGATGTAACAGTACACAGCTAATTGCCTACGTTACATTAACACTGCCTGGAGTTTGTGTGTGCTCTGTGTATTAAAAATGCATTATATTATATTTGTATTGTACTAGTACATTTTTATTACGTTTTTTTCACTTGTCTTCCTTTCTGACTGATTCTGGACCAAGCTTTCTTGCTTGTGTTTCTGGTCCCTTATTGTAAAATTACTGTATTAATGAACATGGGTTTGGGGTGATACCCAAGGTTGAAAGCTCCGATGCTAGCTACCCACTAAGACATGCAAAACTACATCCTCATTGGTAGGTAAAGCCTAAGAGTTGTACCGGAATCCCAACCTCAGCACCTCTGGTGTTTCAGGCCGCAGTGGTTTCCAATGAGATCATTAGCCAATCCCCACTCGGGAATGTTGCGGAACTGGGATTCTCACTCCCTCAGAGGAAGTTATTGGAGAAGTATACAGGTAGGCTATTCAGTCCTCCCCTGCCAGTAAGCCACTTCAGGGCACCGTTAATTATCGCACCGCATATTAATTATACACAAGAGGTCAGTCCCAAAAGACCGATAACCCGTTCAGACTATTTGGCAGCGTGGCAACTTCTGCCTTATGTGTCCTTGCGGTGTTCCAAATTATGTCCAAAGAGATCAGTAGGCTACTGGACATACGACCCACGCGTATCGGCACAAACAGCCTTCTTCAGGGTATATTTTTTCAAACAAACAATTCCCTCTTTTGCAGATAGCCTGCATATACAGAGAAGGTCCACTAGTAGGTGGTTACACACAAAAAAAAAAAAAAATAAATAAATAAATAAGTAAATAAGTAAAAAAGAAAGAAAAAAAAGAAAAAAAATTATATATATATATATATATAAAAATAATAAATAAATATAAAAAAATAATTTTAAAAATATAAAAACAAAATTGATTAGATTAATCTGAGGAGATGGCAATTCGGCATTGAGATGTCGTCCTCGCTCTAATGAGGTGCTTGGGGTTAAGACTAAACTCCAAAAAGAGTGTACTATTTCCACTATAGAAAACAACTTTTCTAGGAACGAGATGTTACGCGACGTGATGCAGGCACGTCTGCTCATATATAGTACATTTTTCAGCCTTAGGCTAACAGGCTAGGCCTCTTTATTTAGATGGCGGATCAAGAGAAGCTCCTTTTGCTTTGCACAGTTCAGGACTTCAGTTGTTACGTCTACTGCTTATGACTTTATCAGCTTATCTCTGCTTATAAAGTTCACAGGAGACTTTATTTTATGTGCAAATACTTAAATACATAGGCTTTGGCAATCAATTACCCCAGTCTACCAAGAATACATGGCAACACTTTACAAGGTCTCATTTGTTAACAGTAGTGACATGAACTTCAGTTAAACAGTCAGTTTTTAAATGAAAATAGTTAAAGATAACGCATGTTGTGTAAAAGTATATTGGACCAGTGCATAAACTTAAGAAAATAACTCTCTGCTCATGACTGAATAACTTTTGTAACTTTTTATAGTTGATACTGATTAACTTTAACAAGCATTTTAATCTGTAATTGTACAATGAATGACTATCCAGTGTTATTTATATTTTACATTTGATTACTTACATTTTTGTAGTATTTCATACCTGAATATTAACCTACATTTAGGCCCATTTCATATTTCTTTTTTTATTACATTTATTTGTGCTGTTGTTTGCAATTTGTTTTTGTTTTCTTTTTTTGTTTCTTATTATATGACTAATTTTTACTCGTGTTTAATGAAAATAAAATTTAGCATTAACGAAAAGTAGATTTTTTGTTTGTAAATGCGGTCAATTGTAGTTCTTAGAAATAAAAATTGCAACAAACTTGCAATGGGTGCACCTCTACTTTTTCCAATATTGGATTCAATCTTTTTGTCAACTTGTTCTCTTACAGTTATGGCTGTTTTTATATTTCTATTTGCATCTGATTAATCTTAGCCTTAGGCCTCATTTATCTGAGAGTATAGGCATCTATTTTTTTGAGTGAAAAAAGAATTATTTATGAATAATGTTCACAAGATTAAATAAAATTTATGAAGATAATTTGCTCTTTTTACTAGTGTGCTTAAGGGTGTTTGCCATTTTTGTTTTTACAAAATAAAAGCATTTCAAAACAGTCACACTTTTGGTGTTCTCAGTCAAAAATAGCCGGCCTACAAAAAATAGCTTATTAATCACTTATGCTATATTATCACACAAACTTGTTTTCTTTCAATTAAGACTGGTTTTATTTGTCTATTTGCATCTGATTTTTGGTTTTGGTTTTAACTGTGGAGTCCACAGTTAAAACCAAAACCAAAAATCAGGTGTGGACAGAACAAGAACAAGAATGTTATAAGTGGTTTTATATTTCTATTTGCATCTGATTTAATTGTAGGCCTTATTTATCTGATAATAGGCATCTCTTTTTTTTTTGTAAAAAAAGCATTGTTTTTTTAATAATTTTAGAAAATAACATTGCATTGTTGATTACTCTAGTCCACTTTAATGTTTCACAAGGAAGTTTGTTTTGAAAAACTTTTATTTTGTACAAAATGGCACAAGTTAGCCATCTTGTGGTGTTCACGGTCAAAAATAGCCGGCCATTGAAAGTGAATTAGAGAGACTGAAAATAGGAGAACAATTTTGTTTTCAGGAGCAGGTTAATTATGTTCATGTGAACATATGTGCATGCGTGTTCTCTCCAATCACTTTCAATCAGCTTTCAATGACACATTGGAACTCTGTGCCATTTTGTACAAAAATAAGTTTTTCAAAACAAACTTCCTAGTGATATTTAAAAAAAAGTAGGCCTATTTTATTTTATTACTGTGAAAATTATTCATAAATCTCAAACAATTAGATGCCTAGTCTCAGATAAATGAGGCCTACGATTAATCAGATGCAAATAGAAATATAAAACCAGTCTTAATTGAAAGAGATCAAGTTAACAAAACAAATGTTTTCCAACAGCTATCAACTCACTTATAACATTCTTGTTCTGTCCACAGTTAAAACCACCTGAGTGATATTCACAGACTATTTGAAATAAAAATAGAACTGCGATTCTATGAAATGCTATATTTTTAAATGCAACATTTCCTCATGACATAAACATTACAAGACGGTTGCTTTTTTTATTGTAATTACTGCAGCAAAATTCCAAATGAAGCATACAGCTTTAACAATCCTAAAACATATTAGACATTATAATCTGAAATCACCTTGACAATTTTTATGATTGGAGTAATGGATACAAATATAATATCCTAAATGAAAAGAAAAGCAATTTGTTATATCACTACAAATAAGGCTATTGATTTCTCACACTACTGAAAATACAATGGAGTGAAAGAAATGTCCAGTTTTGTTTTCAGAAATGCACAATAACCAGGTTTATCATACATTGGAACTTGAATCTAGCTTGTTTCACACATATTTACACTTTTTAACAGATTAAACTGAACTGTTGTCAACGAACAGCAGAATGAACGCAGAAAGCAACAGTAGGAACTGTTTTTCTGGAGGTTTTAGAAGCACTCGTGCATTTACAAAACGCTCTCTTCACTGCATTTTGCAATTCTTTATTCCTCAAGCTGTAAATGATGGGGTTCAACAGGGGTGTGAGTACAGAGTACAGCACAGCGATTACTATACGAACATCTGGGTCAAATTTACCCACTCGATATGAGATATACACAAAGGCGGCTGAAACGTACGAGATGCACACCACGGTCAGATGGGACACACAAGTGCCCGCAACTTTGAGCTGCTGTGCCTTGCTCATTTTCCTCATAGCTTTGCCAATACAGATATACGTAATTAAGATGAAAAGAAATGTACTAAGAAGTGCAAAGAGTGCGTTTGTTAAGGACAAAATGCCATTCCTGGTGGTGTCTACACAGGCAAGGACCACAACTGAGGAGTGATCGCAAAATAAGTGCCTGACAACATTAGACCGGCAGTAAGGCAGCAGAGTCGCCCAAACAGCTGCGGGCAGCACCATAACGAACCCAAAACCCCAAGCAGCAAATATCAATAGGACACAGAGCCGCTTGGTCATGATAGTTGTGTACCGCAGGGGGTTACAGATTGCTACGTACCGGTCAAACGCCATCACAGTCAGCAAAGCACGCCCTGTCACTCCAAATGAGAGAAAAAAGTACATCTGTACAAAGCATCCTGTTTTGGAAATGGTCTTGACCTCAGTCAGAAACACTGACAACATTTTGGGAATGGTCACTGACGTGAACACAATATCAGTAAAGGACAAATTATGAAGGAAAAAATACATCGGAGTGTTGAGTTTGGGGTCGGTTCTAACAAGGTAAATGATCATGCCGTTTCCACACAGAACTGAAACATAGACGGTGAAGAAAATAGGCAGCACGAATCTGTCCTTCAGTCCATCCAGGATGAAATACTCCACAGGCCCGCTGGTGTTCATTGTGCTGACCTTTTCAATGAAATATTATATGTAGAAAATAACAGTAAAACTAAACAAACATATGCAACTTATGCTGTATGTTGGGGATTCCTCATCATCTAAACAGTTTTATGCTATATCTTGAAAGTGATGTAGACTTTATATGCACCCACATTAAAAATGAGAGAGAATCCTTTTATGAATAAATCATTGTATAGATATTATATTGCTAAAATAACTTTTTACTGCACAATACAATTTCTGGATGTGTAGAGAAATTGAACCAACCTTAAAATTAAATATTAAGTGAAACTGTACACAGCAAAAAAATGTCAGGAGATTTGTCACCATGGGTGTTAAAATTATCACTTTCCGGGTGAACATACAGGTCCATCTTTGCTAGTGTTAAAACAACACTGACGATAGTGTTTATTTTTTAAACACTGTGTTAGTGTTTCATTTAATCACTCAAGGTGTTAGAAATTATTACTCTTAAATATACACATTTAACACTTTATGGTGTTTAATCACACAACTCCAGTGTATTTTTTTATGTTGATTTAATGTTTATAATGTATACTTATTTTAAAATGGTAATGCAGATGAAGTTTTAAAAAATTAAACTTTTAAACCCGAAGATATTTTTCCAAAAACCAAGTTACTATGAATTTATTTTAACATTTATTAAAATTAAAATTTTTCAAACATACAATTGAATAAGACAACTCTCCAATGCAATACCATCTTATTATTTAAAAGAATAATTTCACTTTGAAATAAACACATCACTCTTTATTACTCTTAAAAAACTTTATTTCAAAACAATCCAAAAAGTCTGGGATCATAGTAGAATTCTGTTCACTGTAAAGTTAAAAATAAAGGCAAAATGTAAACAGTTGTTTCAAACAAACTATTTTTTTTATTAACGAACAAGCACGTTTACATTATAGGTTAATTTTTGAAATAAACAATGAATGCACAATATATGGATTTCTGTCATCAGAATTATATGATGTGATCAAATGGTGTTTAATACTTAAGTCCTGAACATATCAGTGAATGTTAGTCCTGTGTCAGTGAAGTTAATTCAGTACCTTTGACTTTGCAACAGTACAGCAGTGCTTGAGTCAAAAACATTCAGCAGATGAAAAACAGTAGCAGGATATGAGTGGATCAGCTGTATCCAGTCGCTAACAGTAAAGTTCAGTGCAGTTGTTTCACAGAGCAGAAAAGGCTGTGCAGATCCAACTTTAGTGAAAAATCGTGTAGTACTGGGTACCTAGAACACAAAACCAGATCATTTACACATTTGTGTTTCATAAATACAGCAAGTTTAGGGTGAAAAAAAGTTCAATCATCGACTCAAACAAAAAAACATTTTTGTTTGATTAAGACTTGAATTTACTGATTTCCAAGTAAATCGAAGATTTAATTAATAAAAAAAATGTAATTCTGTCATTAATTATTCACCCTCATGTTGTTCCAAACCAGTAAGAGTTTTGCTCATCTTCGAAACACTTAAAGGGTTAGTTCACCCAAAAATGAAAATTCTGACTAATTATTCACCCTCATGTTGTTCCAACCCCGTAAGAATTTCCTTCATCTTCAGGACACAAATTAAGATATTTTTGATTAAATCTGAGCTATCTCACTCCTCCATAGCCTTCTAAGGGATTGAAACTTGGCGGCCAAGAAAAGTTATTAAAGACATTGTAAAAATAGACAGAGTGACTACAGTGGCTCAACCTTAAGTTTATCAAGTGACAAAAATACTTTTTGTATGCAAAAAAAAACCAAACTAAAAATATTAAAATTAACTATTCATTTTCTTCTGCGTGGGCCTGAGCAAGTTAACAGTGTAACAGTGCAGCGCTTCTGTGTTGTACGTCACACACACACACACACACACACACACACACACACAACCAGCGTCGGCCAATAGTGAGCCTGTGTGTGACGTACAACACTGAAGCACTGTTACACTACGAGAACCATCTCAAGGCCCACAGAGAAGCATGCATAGTTAAATAAAGTCGTAATTTCTGTTTGTTTTTGGCACACAAAGTATTCTCGTTGCTTGATAAACTTATGATTGCGCTTCTGTAATCACTTGGACTATTTTAACAATATCTTTAATAACTTTCTGGGCTGGCAAGTTTTGATCCCTTAGAAGCCTATGGAGGAGTGAGATAGCTCAGATTTAATCAAAAATATCTTAATTTGTGTTCAGAAGATGAACGAAAGTCTTACAGGGCTGGAACAACATGAAGGTGAGTAAATACTGACAGAATTTACATTTTTGGGTGAACAGTCCCTTTAATGAAGATATTTTTAATGAAATATAAGAGATTTCTGTCCATTCATCTAAAGCCTATTCAACCACCACTTCCAAAGCCACGGAAAGGTATAAAGGAAATCAAAAGTAATCCATGTGACTCTAGTGGTGTAACATAAATTTCACAATTTTAACTCAACTTTATTTACAAAATATTCCTCTTCAATGCACATACATGCACATCAACAACATGCACGAGTTGTAATGTTCTCATGAACGCATGTTGGAAATAAATATTTAATAAATTGGTAAATGTGTTTTTGCTGCAAACACAGCACTTGCATAGTTTAATAAACATTTATGTTAAACCACTGGAGTCGCATGGAGTACTTTAATGATGTACTTTTGTCTGGGGCTTGAAAGTGGTAGTTGCGTAGATTGTCAATGGAGGGGCACGAAGCTCTCAGATTTCATTAAAAATATCTTCATTTGTGTTGTGAACATCGAAAAACGCTCACATGTTTGGAACGACATGAGGGTGAGTAATTAATGACAGAATTTCCATTTGTGGGTGAACTAACACTTTAAGAATAAATTAAGACACGCACCTTAAGAAATCTCACTAAATAGTCAGCCGCCGGATTCTGGAAGGATCGGTGTTCTCTTCTTGTGGCTTTGTAATGTTGGGGGCAGGTGATGGGCAGAGATTTCTACTTGTCAAATCAAGAAAACCATTGATTAGAAATCTTATTTTAAGTTTATATATATATACACACACACACACACACACACACACACACACACACACACACTTTTGTTAAGTAATTTGACTAGACAAATTCAAAATATGTGTTATGAAACAAAGAAAATCTAGTAATACCAAGCCATGATTATTTTTGTTTGTGCCCATGATTCTCTCATATGTTAACTTATCTGTTATCTTTCCATCACCAGGTTCTAGTCTGTACAGTCTTTAAACACCAAGCCTGGTACCCTTAGCCACTTGGTGCATCATAGAATTGCTCCTAGCAAAAACAAATTGCAAAAATCAATAAATTTAAACATTAAAGCATCTCCAAATATCAACCAAAAGTTAATCTGATAAATACATTTTGCATCAATATTTAATTTGAAATAATTGCTTACCCGTTCTAAAAAGATTGGTCCTCCAAATAAGGAAATAAAGTGAAAATTTCACGTGCATTGTTGGTCCGCAGTTTGTGGAGTTGGTCTAGCTGGCAGACGAGAGTAAAAGATAGTTTGAGGATAAATACTTTATGATATTTGCACATCACACATATTGTCATAAAACAATATCATATTATAAAACACGTAGCACAGTAAATGAGTAAAAAACACTTAAAGTTACCTACTCGGTGTTTTCACTGTTAAAAGCAAACTCCGTGTCTGCATTCTGCACTGCTTTTTGAAATGCGTCACGAGTCAAAGATGCAGGACCTGACGGTTTAGGCGCGCACATTACATAAATATCGTTACAAAACAATATAATGCCATGAAATTCATGAGGTAAATTATGTTAAAAACACTTACTGTAGGTGTTTTCCCTGTTAACGTTAAGCCTCCTCCTCGTCAGCTCCGTATTTAGGCTAGTCAAAGATGATGTCGCCTTTGAAAAGAATTTCGACCGTTTAATCGCGCTGGGCATTTAAATATCGCCATGAATCAATATACTATAAAATACATTGCCAATGTAAATTAGAAAACACTTACTTTCGTTGTTTCCCGGTTAAAAAGCAAACCCATCCTGGTCTGCCCCGAATCGCGCGTCATAGAAAATGTCCCTCTGAGAGCGGTTTGCTCGTCCACAGAACATACATATTGTTATAAAACAATATGATGTTATAAAATTAATCTATAAATGCGATAAAACACGTAATAAATGCGTGTTTCCTCCTCGTATGCCTTGCGACTCGAGTCAAAGAAAATGGCGTCTGTGAGTAAAGTTTCAGCTCGTTTCGTTCCGCCCAGCACGTAAATGTCCCGGATGTGACTAGTAACACTATTATTGGTGTTGTCAAAGCATTCTCAGGTGCTACTTAGATTTAACTCCACATATTTTCACCAGCCAGAGTGTGGTTTACACTAGCTAGTGTTAATCCCTTGAGATTCAACACCAGAAAATTAACACTTTACTCTAAGAGACTTTAACACCAGGATTTCAACACTGAAGATTTTGCTGTGTACATTTTAGAGTAGGCTACTAGAGTCTAATCAGCATGGGTCAGTGTTGTCACTCTGGCATCTTCCTATGTGACAAACATTAAATACAGAAGGGGCTTTAAATGCGGTCATTTTCAAGGAGGAAAAACACACTTTGGGGAGGGGGGTGGGAACCAATTTACATTGATTGCATTATGTTGTGCATTTTATATCCTTGGCAACAACTCTCATGGTGCATCCTTTTGCATCATGGAGCAAATGATAGTTTTGTTTTGTTAGATGCATGACTATATTTATCAACATTTTTATAAGATGGAAATATTTTAAAGATATTTAAAAAAATTATATTTCATTTCTGTAATGCATTTTCATTTTAATTTTGACACTTATAAAGCGTTTCAATATGCATATTTAAACTAGTGTATGAAATGTCAAATGTAAACTATGTAATTTCGTTTTGGTTTGCTGATGTCAACGCTGTGGATCGAGTGCCCCATGGTGGGTAATGGGCAGGCGTATGTTATGGCCAATGAATGAACACAGGTGCATTTTATTGATGGCATATTGA